TCTTCGCTCAGTCAGGGATCACTTCCTCGCCCTTGACCCCCATTCTCTCACTGTCGACGACCTCGAGAAGCACCTCCAAGCAGCCGAGAAGAACATTCTAGCTGTAGGTGCTGCTCGTGGTACTCCCTGCACTCCCCTCTTTAAGGGGTGCTCCCCCTCCCCTCCTACCTCCTCCTACGCCTCCGCAGCTGCTGCTGTCGACCTCCTCGGTGCTGAGCATGTCGCAGCTGCTTCCGCTCCTAGTGGGAAGCGCAGCAGCTCTAGGGGAGGCAAGGGTGGCAGGGGTGGCGGACGTGGCGGTGGAGGGGGCGGTGGTGGAGGCGGCGGGGGAGGTGGAGGTGGTGGGGGTGGTCGTGGGGGTGGAGGTGGTAGTGGGGGCGGTGGTGGTGCCGGGAGCGGTGGTGGCGGCGGTGGTGGCGGAGGGGGGAGTGGTGGTGGCAGCGGTGGTGGGGGCTTGGGTGACACCCGTGGTGGCCAGGGGCAGCAGCAGCAGCAGCAGCAGCAGCAGCAGCGTCAGCGCCAGACCCCCACTTCCCAGCAGCTTCTTGACTGGTATGCCGGGCGTGGGGCGTCTGGGGGTCCTGGTCGCTGCCCCTATATCATTCGCACAGGTCCCCGCACTGGTCGCCAGTGCACAGGGTTTCACACTGAGTACCGCTGTTTTGCTCGGCTTAGCGACGCCTGGCGCGTCAAGTTTCCTGATGCTACTGAGTTCCCCAAATGCGCAGACCTGCTTAGGCGTGATGTACCTATCTTTGATCTTGAGTATGAGGCTATTCTCGCCCCAGGTCCTCCCCAGGTAGACCCCCTCCCCACGCCGGGTCCCGCTCCTTCAGGTGTTTCTCAGGTAGACCCTCCCGTGCCTGCGCCTGTTGAGGTCACTGGTGACTCAGGTCCTGCTGGGGGTGGTGCTGTCTTTGGGGGTGCTGGGCCTGGGGGTGTGGAGCATGGGGGTGCTGAGCCTGGGGGTGGTGCTGTCTTTGGGGGTGCTGGGCCTGGGGGTGTGGAGCATGGGGGTGCTGAGCCTGGGGGTGCGGAGCTTGGGGGTACTGAGCCTGGGGGTGCGGAGCCTGCGCGTGAGGAGCCTGGAGGTCCTGAGCCTGGGGGTGCTGTGTCTGAAGGTGCTGAGCCCGAGCGTGAGGAGCCTGGTGGTACTGAGTCTGGGGGTGAGACGCCTGAGGGTTCTGAGTCTGCTGCTGCGCGGTCTCCTTGGAGTAGCCGCCTTCGTCCGCGTGTGCCTCTCACCTCACAGCAGCTGCACGACTGGTACGGTCGCCGTCAGGGTCGAGCTTCTGGAGCTCGGGGCTCTACTGCTGGAGGTACTTCTGCTGACGTCACTGGAGCTAGGAGTGGTACTGGTCCCGGAGGTGCTCGTACTGGAGGAACTGGAGCTACTGGGGCTGGAGGTTCTTCTGAGCCTGAGGGTGCTACTACCGGAGGCCCTGGGTCTGGGGGTGCTGCTGCTGGAGATACTGACGCTGGAGACCCTGGGACTGGAGGTGCCGGTTCTGGGGGTGCTGCTGTTGGTGGAGCTGGTCCTGGAGGAGCTGGCGCTGAGGGTTCTGGGGCTGCTGGAGGTGCTGGAGCTGCTGGGGGTACTGGAGCTGCTCGTGCTGGTGTCACTGCACAGCCGCGCCTGTTCTTTGCTCCACCGTCTCCGTCGTCTCAGCCACCGCCTGACTCTGTGCTTCGCCAGGTTCTTAGTCTCCCTTCGTCTACTGGTCTTCCTTTACAGCCTGGCTCACCGCTGCCTGATCCTTCTCCTTACACTGAGCAGACAGGGGGTCTTACTGAGCGTCGTGCACCTGCGTCGCGTCCTGTCTCGCCTGTCCGTTCTGGTCGTCGTGTTCCTCGTCCGCGTCAGTCGGCTGTCCCCGACACCCACCTCGTAGTCCGTCGTCCTTCTTCTCCTCCGCAGCGTGTTCCTCTGCCGTCTCCTCCTGCGTCTTCTCTGCCTGTTGTTCCGGACCCTGAGTCTGACCAGTTTCGTGCTGAGCACCCTACTGTCACGCGTCTGCTAGCCACTGTTGTCACTGACCCGTCGTTTGAGTCTGCTGCTGCGTCTGCCTTTGTCGCTGAGCTGGTTGACTTTGCTGCTGCCTGTCGTCTAGACTACGCTGCTAGTCTTGTTGCTGAGTCTGAGTCTGTCTGTCCTCCGTCCGTCGGGGGTGAGTGTGCTCTTGGCACGGACGTCCTTGAGGACAGACAGGAGGACCTTGAGTGTCTTGCGACCGCTGCACCTCATCTCGTGGCCATGCTGCTTGCCCCTGAGGGAGACCCGGATGCACCAGACATCCCGACCCCGCGCTCTTACGCTGAGGCGATCGCGGGTGAGTACTCCTCTCAGTGGCAGACAGCCATGGACGCAGAGATGGTATCCTGGAAGTCCACAGGCACCTACGTTGACGAGGTTCCCCCTCCTGGGGCGAACATCGTCGACGGCATGTGGATTTTCAGGGTGAAGCGGCCGCCAGGTTCTCCGCCTGTCTTCAAGGCTCGTTACGTTGCTCGAGGCTTCAGTCAGCGGGAGGGAGTTGACTTCTTCCAGACTTTCTCCCCCACCCCGAAGATGACCACTCTTCGGGTGTTGCTGCACGTTGCCGCTCAGCGTGACTACGAGCTTCACTCCCTTGACTTCAGCACAGCTTTCTTACAGGGCAGCCTGCACGAGGAGATCTGGCTGCGCCGCCCACCTGGCTTCACTGGGTCGTTCCCTCCTGGTACCCAGTGGAGCCTCCGGCGGCCGGTCTACGGTCTCCGCCAGGCGCCACGTGAGTGGCACGACACACTGAGGACGACACTTGCGGCTCTTGGGTTTGCACCTTCGACTGCTGACCCGTCGCTGTTTCTGCGCACCGACACTTCGCTGCCGCCGTTCTACATCCTCGTGTACGTCGACGACTTGGTCTTTGCCACTGCTGACACGGAGGCTCTCGCCCTGGTGAAGTCGGAGGTGCAGAAGAGACACACGTGCACAGACCTGGGTGAGCTGCGCAGTTACCTTGGCTTGCAGATCACCTGGGACAGAGCACGCCGCACCATCACTCTGACTCAGTCACACATGGTGCAGCAGGTCCTTCAGCGCTTCGGCTTCACCTGGTCCTCGGCACAGGCCACTCCTCTGGCTATAGGTCACTCGCTCTCAGCTCCACCATCGGACGAGTCCGTAGAGCCGAGTGGTCCTTACCCAGAGCTAGTTGGCTGCCTCATGTACCTGATGACCTGCACTCGTCCTGACGTTGCGTACCCCCTTGGCCTTCTGGCTTGCTACGTGGCTCCTGGTCGGCACCGAAAGGTGCACATGGATGCTGCTAAGAGGGTACTACGCTACTTGTGCAGTACATCGGGCATGGGGCTCGTGCTTGGAGGACGGGGAGACGTTGTCCTCACTGGTCACTCGGACGCTTCTTGGGTTGACGACCAGGCTACGCAGCGGTCGTCACAGGGTTACACCTTCAGTCTTGGCTCTGGCTCTGTTTCTTGGCGGTCTACCCGCTCGTCTTCTGTTCTCAGCTCCAGTTGTGAGGCTGAGATCTACGCCACAGCCATGGCTGCACAGGAGTTACGCTGGCTCACCTACCTGCTGACCGGCTTGGGAGAGAGGCCTCGTTCTCCTCCAGTTCTGTACGTCGACAACAAGGCAGCCATTGCCTTGTGTCAGGAGCACAGACTGGAGCACAGAACGAAGCACATCGCTCTGCGTTACTTCCTGGCTCGAGAGTTGCAGCAGCGGGGTCAGCTTCGTCTTGCTCACGTGGCCACTCGGGCCAACACTGCTGATATATTCACCAAGGCACTTCCGTCTGGTGATCATCAGCGCTTTTGTACTTTGTTGGGCCTTGTGCCTACGTTTCCACACTTGCTGTAGACTCTGGTTGTACTCTGATCTATATATACATATATATACCTGCATGCTTGCTCTTGCTAGGTAGAGATCACTGTACTGTTCTTGTTGCATATATACCTCTGCATGTGAACTGGCCTTGTGGCCTGTTGCTTGTGCTCAGTGTGTGTGGTGACGTTGTGATCCACCCTGAGCTTGCTTTGCTTTTCTTGACTGGTCTTGTGACCTCTTGCTCTCCCCCACTTTGCCTGTGAGGGTGTGTCAAAGATATGCATATGTTATATTTGTGGGTAGGCTGTAGTGGGGTAGACACTGTGGGGTATAACCCCTTAGGGTTTTCTCCTTGTACCAATTCTCTCGATAGTCAACTTCACCTATGCCTAGATTCTAAGATTCAGACCACGTGTCTTGGGGTTGGGGTGGGGGACTGGCTGGCACCCCACGATACTCACTTTGGAAGGTCACTGAACAGGCACGAGCCTCTGGATAATGTTGTACAGGAATTCAGACCACGTGCCTTGGGGGCCTGGCAGGCAGTAGTGCAGGCAGTCAACCTGATTCTTCCCAATCACCCCTCTATGCCCATCCGGTCTTAAAGCCATCATCGGATCCACATTCATGAACACCCCTCCCGCATCCTCCACTATACTCCTCACCATCTCGTTTTGCCTTCTGAATTCTTTCCAATTGTACGGCAGTGTTGCTACATCCTGCCGCTCGGTGATTGGCCGGGAGTAGTTCAGGCAATTGAGGTGCCCGGGAGATGTGGTGCGGTAAATCAGGAGTTTGTCGGGGTGATTGTGGCGAAGAACACGAAAGATTCGTCTGACTGCCTTGACCACATTCACTGCTGCCGAAATGTGCGCACCCCGATTCAATATAATCACATGTGATTCTCTGATTCCCGAAACTTCATACCACGGCACGTGGAGCCATGCCGCCCGCTCTAGCCTTTCCTCGAACACATGCATCAGCCGAGCTGTCGCCACAAAATGAATCTCCAGTTTCGGGCATCCCTCAATGCGGTAACCAGCGCATGTAACCGTTATCGTGTCGTCAATCCACTCCAGGCATTTCCGCTTCACTATCGTCCCCACAGCCGGCTTGGGGATATGCTTGATGATGTTATTCATAAACGAATAGTGGTGTTCCCGCGTCAGCGAATCCCCGATAAAAGCAATCCGCAGCCCATCCTTCCGCCGCGCGGCCAGCTCGCAAAGCGCGCGCCCGTCGACCGCGTCAGCGAATCCCCGATAAAAGCAATCCGCAGCCCATCCTTCCGCCGCGCGGCCAGCTCGCAAAGCGCGCGCCCGTCGAACCTCGAAAACATCTCCCCCTGCACGCCCTCCCTCCCCACCACCGCCTGCCTCCCTCCGATAACTCCAGCACACTTTTCCCGAGGCACCACCCACTCGTACTTCAAACTCTCTCGAACCTTCCATGCCGCAGCAGCAGCAGCGGGATCCCACCCCGAGTTAGCTATTTTGTCCGCGTACTTCCCCGCAACTCCGCCCTGCTTCATGTGCTGAGAGTCGCAGCTCTGAGTCCCCTTCTCCTCCCACGGTAGAACCCTAGGCGTCGCGTTGTACCGCCACTCGCCGCGCTCCTCCACGCAGTGCATCCATCGCTTGAACGCGGCCGGCTCGCCTCTTCCAGGCCTAAGTCTCGAGCCTGGGATTATTCTTCGGAAGTCGCCGAGGCTGGCCGACTCGTCCGGTGGAAAGGAGACGGGTGGTAACCCGGTTAACGCGTGAAGTGTAGGGTTGTTACGGATCAGCGCGGTGACTGTACCGTACACCTCGTCCACGTGGCAGTGCTCCTCACAGGGCCACTGGCAGTTCAGCTTAGTCGGATCGCAGGCTGAGAGAAAATGATGGATGCCGAGGCGGAAAGCGAGGTGGAAATGCCACGTGGCAGCCCGCTGTTGGCCGACGCCAGGGATGGACGCAGCGGCCATGGCGACGGGGCGAGGGAGGATTTCGATGAGCGTGGAGTTGAATGGCATGAAGATGAGATTCGACAGCGCGGGCGACGTGGGACCGACGAACAGAATCGCGCGGGAGAAGAGGTCCTTGGCTTGTAACAACGGCACGTGCTCGTCGTATACCACCACGCGCGATTCGCCAAAGAGCTCCCGCATCATTACTATCACACGTTTCATCGCGTCAGCCGCCTCCTTATAATCACTCTCCGCGCCCTCCTTTCCGCCTGCTCCTTCTTTCACAAGCTCCCCGTCCCCAAAACCGATATCCTCCCCCCCAGCCACTCCCTGCCCCTCCCTCCCCCCATGCGCGCTCCAAACCAGCGACACCACCACCACCCAATCCCGACGCAAGGCCTCCCCAACCACCATGTGCTCCCAATCCTGCCGGTTCAGAGGCTGGTTCGGCAGCCGAGGCACCCAGTTCGGGTTGAGGATCGGCAGGCCGTTGGGGGGGAGGAGGTGGTGCGCGCGGAGGGTGCGCCAGAGGGGGTCGGGGGAGCGGGGGAGGGGGGAAGCGGCGAATCCGCAAAGAGAGTCCGTGTGTAGTGGTAGGTAGAGGTTCTTTGCGAAGAACAGGTGCGGACGCGCTGCTGCCGCCGCTGCTCTTGCTGACGTGGAATACGCTGACGTGGCGTCCAGGGGGATGGAGAGCGCAGCGAGATCCACCCCAAACAGCCCTGTGCGCACGTGATGCAGCAACTGGGGGAAGAGAGTAGGCATTCCAGGGCAAACGGGGAGAGGAAAAACAGGGGGGAGAGGGGAATTAGAGGAGAGATAACAGTGAGCGGATAGCGGTGCATTTATGCTTCCATAAGCAATTGTCCTCGTGATTTTAGCTTAGGCTCACCCGTCGATCGCGCAGCAGCAGCGGGTATCGGCGCGCAGTGGGCATGAGAGACGACGACACCAGGAACAGCACCGGCAGCAGCCGCGCCAGCTGCCTCTCCTTCGCGCTTCCGCCCAGCGCGCGCGCCTTTTCCTCCCACGCGCTTGCTGCGCTGTTGCTCCCCCCTTCCGCCTGCGCCGAGTCCTCCGCGTCCGCCGCCATCTCCCCCCACCCGTCGTCCTCCTCATAAGGAAGTAAGTTAATTAAATGCTCGTGAACACTAATAACGGTCCCTGCAGGGTAAGACATCTCCGATATAGCCTGTTTCTCGGTCCACGCTTTCCATGAGCCTCGAGCTCCGCCGCATGCGCTGAATACGAACACGTGGCTCGCATTGAACACGACGCCCCTCCCGTTGACGAAGACGTCGCGAAAGAGAAAGATTCTGCTGTTACCCGTCTCATCTGTTACACTTGGCGAGAATTCCCCGTCAATTTGCTCCTCAAAGCCCCCGTTTTCGCCCTCCCCTTCGCAGACGTCGCCCACGTGTAGCAACGGCCACGGCCATAGCCACGGCCGCTGGCGACATTGCGCTCGCGACTGTATAATTTCGCCTTCGCGAAACCGCGAGGCGAAGGTTGCGAGGTCATTCGCGACAGGGAGCGACCACTTGCACCCCGAGACTTCGCTCAGGGCCCCCGAACCTGGCTGGAAGGTCGGACAGACGGACATTACCGAACCTGGCGACCCGGTTTGGCCCAGAGAAAAAAATGGCTCGGAATGAGGGTGAACGGGCAACCTTTTGAGGGAGGCGCCTTTCAGGGGAGCTTGCAACTGCGTCACAGCCTCCGCCCCTTCCCGCCTCTCACGCTGCGCGTCGCCAATCTCCCCCAGATTTTTAACTGTCGGCTTTATTGGGGGCGGCTGACTGTCGCCGGCTGTGACGATCCGACCGAGTTCGAACGCTGCATGCGCGCTATTGAGTGAGCTCGGCTCGAATTGGTTGATCACGAGGAGTGACAAAAGGGTAGCTGACGCTATACTGAGACGGGTCCTGTGCAAGTTCATGGCCGGTGACATGGTGTTGCTTTCCCGCACATCCAATGTCTTCAAGCGTGTATGCGTCTGCCAGACGGGCTGGGATTAAGGAGGGAATGAGCTACTACCTATGGGCTGGAAAATGAAAAGAGCGACACCTCGTAATATTGATTTACTTGGACGGACTCGGGGACGCGAATATCCAGATCTAGCCATCTCACGATGGTCCTCGCACTAGAAACTGCTCGTAGATCCGTGCTATCCGTGTGAGTCTTGTCAGGGAAACGAGGGTTGCTTCCTGGCCGGCCGGCCCGCGGCGCATAGACTGGGGTTCTGTCAGTACAGCCACCACGGCTTGGTTACTGGTTTTGGGGTAGCTTGAACTTCCACATATTTTCGCCACCGATTGCAGAAATCTGGCACCCGTTTTCTCGCCACTGATCGCCACGAATCACGTTCAGAGTCTAGACGGCCTTGCTGCCCGTGTGCATATCTTGTCATGATATTCGTTTTTCTTACCCGAATTACCCCGCTACCCGGCTAATTTCGTTCCCGCTCTAGAGGAACGGGTTGCGACTTGGCAACACTGGGCCATTTCACAGTTTGTCTGGTTTTTTGTTTGGATCTACTAGGCCAATATAGAATTTTGGAGAGTTTTCTACCTGTTGTGCCGGTTTTAGTAGGGAGTTGGAACGTGTGAAGTCTGGTTAGACCCAGTGTATTTCTACACACCATTTCACCCGAACTACACCCCACTTTGTGAGGGCGTCACTTTGCCAAATCCTGACAATTGTTCGCCACGCCAACAACAACTGAAAGTGTATCCTCGTTTGAAATAACTACTACAAATTTTGGCTTGGATATCGCCCTTCCAACCATGAGAGTTTGAGGTGAAAAAAACTCTTAAAAATATGAATCCTTCAAAACTATGCTCTTGCATGCTCCTAATTGTTATTTACTACTGGAAATGGCTTACAGATACAATTATATATAATGTTTCAATGCAAACCTTTCACCTATTGTGTTTAGAGCTTTATCTTTCTAAAGAAATACTGATATGATAATCTTGTATCTTCAATAAAGGAGGTTTTACCGGGTCCATACCAGTGGATGCCAGTTGGCGGGAGTGTGGGAGCGGGTTCCACCATACTCGCGACAGTGTGTTGTGCTCTTCGTCATGTCAAACCCATGGAGCGCTGTCCCGACCGCCACAAACCCCCAACCGAACGCTGTCCGGCATCCACTCTCAAACTCATGCGCTGAATGTGAGCTGGTAAGTGCTTCGAGGTGGCACTTACGCTGGCTCTGTTCCTTCAGGTGAAACCAGGTGTTCTTTCCATCCCACCCACACTGTAAGTGACATCCTCGAGGCGCACACGGCGCTGGCTTTCCAGTTCACGGACCGCGTGGCGCAAAATTCAGGCTCGACACAGCATGCAAATTTCCCTCACTCGCCCACCCACCACACCAACCGTACTGTACCATTTTCGTGATCTTTCTTTTCCCGCAACTTGAAAGGAACTACGCTCATCTGCCACTATTGACGCTTGTTGTCTTCGACTGGTGGTAGGACAGTTCGTTGCGCCCGTGAGTCTACGTTGTCCGTATTTCTTCCCTTACATCACTCTGTTGGTCTAAATTCAATCCGTAAGAGCCTAGCAGCATATTATCCCCTCTCCGATTCCAGCAGCAGACACAGCCTTCGCAACATTTCATGCACGAAAAGCCAACACTCAGTTCGCAGCCATGAACCTGCAAAGAAGAGCCCGCCTCATCTCGAGAGCTTCAACCACCTTGTCATTTCAAATCCTCTTGATCTCAATCACCCTATTCAAGCCGAGCTCGCATGATCGTGCGCACGCAGCGTCTGTACTTCCCGGTCAGACCGTCATAAACGGCGACAATCAACCGCACCCACTACAGTCCATCCTTACCGCCCCACTTCGCGCTACAAGACGACCGTTGCGAGATTCTCTCAGACTCGGAAACCCAGTAGAATCCGATGACGCACAGCGTGAGAGGCGGGAAGGAGCGGAGGCCGTCACGCAGTTGCAAGCTCCCCTGGAAGGCGCATCGCTTGAATCGTTGCACGTTCAACCTCTTTTCCGGCCTGGCTCGCCTCAGGGCCGAACCGAGTCGGCAGGCTCGGCAATGTCCGTATGCCCGACCTTCCAGCCAGGTTCGGGGGCCCTGAGTGAAGTATCGGCATGCAAGTGGTCCGCACCTGCGCAGGCTAGAGAGGGTTCGCTTTCTGTCGCGAATGACCTCGCAACTTTCGCCTCGCGGTTTCGCGACGACGAAAAGTTTCAGTCGCGAACGCAATGCCGCCAGCGGCCGTGGCTATGGCCCTGGCCGTTGTTACACGTGGGCGACATCTGCGAAGGGGAGGGCGAAAACGGGGGCTCCGAGGAGCAGATTGACGGTGATTCTCCCCCCAGTGTACCAGACGAGACGGGTAACAGCGCAATTATTTTATTTCGTGACGTTTTCGTCAACGGGAGGGGTGTTGTGTTCAACGCGAGCCACGTGTTCGAGTTCAGCGCATGCGGCGGCGGCGTTGGGGGCGTATGGAAAACGCGGACCGAAAGACAGGCTACAGCAGAGATGTCTTACCCTGCAGGGACCGTTACTAGCGTTCACGAGCATTTAATCAACTTGCTTCCTTACGAGGAAGCCGACGGGTGGGCGGAGCTGGCGGCAGAAACGGGGGACTTGGCGCAGGCGGAAGGGGAGAGCAACGGCGGAGCAAGCGCGCGGGCGGAAAAGGCGCGCGCGCTGGGCGGAAGCGCGAAGGAGAGGCAGCTGGCGCGGCTGCTGCCGGTGCTGTTCCTGGTGTCGTCGTCTCTCATGCCCACTGCGCGCCGATACCCGCTGCTGCTGCGCGATCGACGGGTGAGTTGTGATTCAAAGCTAAATTCACGGGGTAACGAGCCCCCAGCAGAATCAGATCTTATTGTCATGAGCTGCATGATCATGGAAGCATGATTGCATCGCTATCCGCTCACGACACATTCCCCCTCACAGGTGTCTCTCCTCTAATTCCTCTCTCCCCCCTGTTTTTCCCCTCCCCCTTGTTTTTGCCCCGGAACGCCTATTCTCTTCCCCCAGTTGCTACACCACGTGCGCACAGGGCTGTTTGGAGTTGATCTCGCCGCTCTCTCCATCCCCCTGGACGCCACGTCAGCACGCTGGGCGGCAGCAGCGCGTCCGCACCTGTTCTTCGCGAAGAAACTCTACCTCCCGCTACACACGGACTCTCTCTGCGGATTCGCCGCTTCCCCCCGCCCCCGCTCCCCCGACCCCCTCTGGCGCACCGTTCGCGCACACCACCTCCTTCCCCCCAACGGCCTGCCGATCCTCAACCCGAACTGGGTGCCTCGGCTGCCGAACCAGCACCTGAACCAGCAGGCTCGGGCGCACATGGTGGTTGGGGAGGCCTTGCGTCGGGATTGGGTGGTGGTGGTGTCGCTGGTTTGGAGCGCGCACGCGGGGAGGGAGGGGCAGGGGGTGGCTGGGGGAGAGGATATCGGATTGGGGGAGGGGGAGCTAGCGGAAGGGGGAGCAGGCGGAGGGGAGGGCGCGGAAGGTGATAATAAAGAGGCAGCTGACGCGATGAACCGTGTGATTGTAATGATGCGGGAGCTCTTCGGCGAATCGCGAGTGGTGGTATACGACGAGCACGTGCCGCTACTGCAAGCCAAGGAGCTCTTTTCCCGCGCTATTCTGTTCGTCGGTCCCACGTCGCCCGCGCTGTCGAATCTCATCTTCATGCCATTCAACTCCACGCTCATCGAAATCCTCCCTCGCACCGTAGCCATGGCTACTGCTTCCATCCCTGTCGTCGGCCAACAGCGGGCTGCCACGTGGCATTTCCACCTCGCTTCCCGCCTCGGGATCCATCATTTTCTCTCTGCCTGCGATCCGACTAAGGTGAACTGGCACTCTCAGGAGCACTGCCACGTGGACGAGGTGTACGGTACAGTCACCGCTATGATCCGCAACAACCCGACACTCCACGCGTTCACCGGGTTACCATCCGTCTCCTTTCCACCGGACGAGCCGGCCAGCCTCGGCGACTTCCGAAGCAGGATCCCAGGCTCGAGGCTCAGGCCCGGAACAGGCGAGGCGGCGGCGTTCAAGCAATGGATGAGCTGCGTGGCGGAGCGCGGCGAGTGGCGGTACAACTCGACGCCTAGGGTTCTACCGTGGGAGGAGAAACAGGTGCAGAGCTGCGACAGCCGGCACATGAAGCAGGGCGGAGTGGCAGGAGTACACGCGGACAAAATCGCTAACTCGGGATGGGATCCCGCTGCTGCTGCCGCCGCGTGGAAGGTTCGAGAGAGTCTGAAGTATCAGTGGGTGGTGCCTCGGGAAAAGTGTGGTGGAGTTATCGGGGGGAGGCAGGCGGTGGTGGGGAGGGAGGGCGTGCAGGGGGAGATGTTTTCGAGGTTCGACGGGCGCGCGCTTTGCGAGCTGGCCGCGCGGCGGAAGGATGGGCTGCGGATTGCCTTTATCGGGGATTCGCTGACGCGAGAACACCACTATTCGTTTATGAATAACATCATCAAGCATATCCCCAAGCCAGCGGTGGGGACTATAGTGAAGCGGAAATGCCTGGATTGGATTGACGACACAGTAACGGTTACTTGCGCTGGTTACCGCATTGAGGGGTGCCCGAAATTGGAGATACACTATGTGGCGACAACTCGGCTGATGCGTGTACAGGAGAAGCTAGAACGGGCGGCATGGCTCCATGTGCCCTGGCAACAAGTCCCCGGAATCAGAAACTCCCATGTGCTTATAATGAACCGGGGTGCGCACTACAAGCCAGCAGTGAAGGTTGTGAAGGCAGTCAGACGAATCTTCCGATTCCTTCGTCACAACCACCCCGACAAACTCCTAATCTACCGCACCACACCTCCCGGGCACCTCAACTGCCTGAACCACACCCGACCAATCCCAGAGCGGCAGGATGGAGCCTCCTTACCGTTCAGATGGGGAGAATTCAAGCAGCAGAACGAGATGGTGAGGGAGATAGTGGAGGATGCGGGTGGGTTGTTCATGGATGTGGATCCGATGATGGCTTTAAGACCGGATGGGCACAGAGGGGTGGTGGCAAAGGATAAGGTGGACTGCCTGCACTACTGCCTGCCAGGCCCGGAAGATACCTGGTCTGAGTTCCTGTACAATATTATCCAGAGGCTCGTGCCTGTTCAGTGAGCTCCTCCTGAGGCAAGTAGTGTTTTAATTTGAGACGTCTCAAAACACTACTTGTATCACGTATGCCAGGCCCGGAAGACACCTGGTCTGAGTTCCTGTACAATATCATCCAGAGGCTCGTGCCTGCCCAGTGAGCACCTGAGTCGCCGCCCAATGTGCTGTAACTGATAAGTCCAGTGGCTGGCTGCTAGAAGAGGCATGCACTGAGCTTGTGTACAGCATTGTACGGATGCTTGTGATGCCTCTGATGGATGGGGAGAAAGAAATCAGGAGGGAAAGAGCAGGACGTGGGACAATAACGGGGGTTGGGAAAGGGAGGATGTGGCTTCCAGTGGATGAGCCCCTCAAGGTGTGATGGCCCTGATTGGATGCTCGTGGTTGCAGATAATGCAGTCCAGGTCAGATATTAGCAGATGGGCTTTCATAAAAGCAGAGGTGTAGCTGGAAATATACAGCTGCTGATCCTGCTACCAGAATAAGGACACAGGTGGGTGTCCAGATCTGGGAATAATGCTGCTCTTTCAGCATCCTGCTTGTAGTAGTGAGTGTCCATTGACACTAATGAGTACATCCATTTCTCCATGAGCTTATGTGGATCATCAACGAAAAGTCCTATTGATTCAGGCTAGTTATGCATGAAATCAGAATGCAACTGGCATCTCCAACAACTCTTGGTGAATGCTTTTCTATGATGCAGAAATATGTAGCTTCACATGTTGGGGGTTGTTACGGGTGCAAAGAATCGGGGTAGCGAGGATTGCACTAGAATGTTCAACGAGTACAAGGTATGAGCGAAGGCATGAGCGAATACTTATACGCGAGATGTGCAAACGGTAACGCAGTGCGTGCGAGCTAGCTAGTGCTTGTTAGAAACTAAGGACGGAGTCTATGAAGATTAGGGGACGAAATATCTCAAAATCGTCAACTAAAATTCTGGACAGAAACGTCGTCGTCACAAGAAACGTCGTCGACGAAAACCGCACTGTTAGAATTCTCTCAAACTCGAGTATGTTGTAGCCCTTTACCGTGGCTATCCTTCCCAATTTGAATCGTATCAAAATATGGGGTATAACTCGAGTTATGAATTTCGGCGCACTAGGGGGTATGCTGCCATAGAAACTTAACTCAATCACAATTTACTCACAAGTTCACACAAGAAAGTTAGAGTACCAATCAACCAGGTAGGAAGGAAGAGGAGGACGAGAGGGAAGGTCCCAAGAGAGTCCCCAACCAAGGAAACCCCATGCCACACAATTCCCCTCTCCATAGGCAACCCCACCTTCACTTTTGTCACTTTCCCAACCTCCACAATCCACCTCACCCAAGTTGGCCACACTTGCCAACCTGGTTTGGGTTTTCCCAACCACATCGCAGCAACTACAGTAGAAGTGACGAATTTCCCAACCCCCAAATGTCTATATCCCTTATGGAGTCAACCCCACAACTTCCCATAGTCGCCACAACCAAATATCAAAAGCATACGAACTTCAAATGTTCGTAACTTTCGTGTTCGTGCTCCGATTGAAGCGATCCTTGGTTCGTCGGAATGCTCTCGAGCAGAGGAGTCACTTCAGATATCTGCTCAAGCCAAATAACATTCACACACACTCATAAAATCCAAACCACACCAAATACAAATTCTTGCACACGCTCACACCACTCATGCAACGCACGAACATATGTTGGGAGGCAGACAGACGTGAATGCAAATGATAGCATCACATAACAAACTCCCCCTCTGGCTGCCAACCATCATCCCACATGCCTCAGCTCATGCATGCACCCTCAATGCACACTCATTCCAGCAAGTTTCATGCCATTCCAATGCTCAGTTTCAGCCAGGCGCTTGGTGAGAATGTCAGCCGCCTGCTGATGGGTCTTTACAATCTCCAGCCGCACCTCCTTGTCTAGGAGCCTTCTCACCCAGTGCCACTTGGGCCTGATGTGCTTCGTCAGCCCATGAAGGCAAGCGTTCTTAGCAAGCTTCACAGCCGACTCGTTGTCACAAAAAATCACAGTTGGCTCCCTCTGGCACACTCCGATCTCCTCCAACAAACGCCTCAGCCACACCACCTCCTTGGCCCCATGATGCAGGGCCATGTACTCTGTCTCACACGAGGACTGCCCCACCTCGTTCTGCTTCTTGCTGCGCCAGCTCACTGCACCACCTCCAAACAGGCACACATAGCCTCCAATGCTGGTGCCATCCGCTTTCACCGAGTTGAAGCTAGCGTCGGTGTAGCACGTCAAGAGCATCTCCCCCTTGCTCAAATCAGCTGCACCTCTCTGCACCCTCTGTCTCACAGCACTGTACTCCAAGCCCACAGATGCTGTAGCGCTCACATAGCGGACCAACCTCTTGGCCGCTTCCAGCTGCTCATGACTGGGGCGTGAAACCACACTGGCAAGCCTGGATGTAGCAAAGGCAATGTCAGGCCGCGTGTGGTTAGCCGCATAATTGAGTGCCCCCACCATGGAATGAAACAGCTTCCTGTCACTCTCACCCACCACCTCCTCATCAGCACAGGGCTCCACAGTGAACCCCGAAGGTAGTGGGGTTGCTGGCTTTCCTCCATCTTGCAGCCCATACTTCTCAGCCAGCCCCTCACAGTACTTCCTCTGGTGCAACCTCAGCACTCTCTTGTCAAAGTCCCTCTCCACATGCATCCCAAGGTAATATTTCACATCTCCCATCTTCGAGCACTTGAATTGCATCTCCAGCATCTCCTCCATACGCTCAATCATCGCAGACGACTCGGAGAAGAGCAGGATGTCATCCACATACACCAGGAGCATAAGGAACTGCTCCTTCTCTTGCATCAGGAACAAGCTGTGGTCGCACTCACTCTTCTTGAACCCCCCAGCCAGCAGTGTCTCCTCCAGCTTGTGGTACCAGGCGCGAGGAGCCTGCTTCAGGCCATAGATGGCCTTCTTCAGCCTGCACACCCTGCCGCTCCCATCATCCAATCCCTCAGGCTGTAACATGTACAGCTCCTCCAGAATTATCCCATTGAGGAAGGCGGTGGTAATGTCCATCTGCTTCACCCGCCATCCACGGTTTGCTGCCATTGCCAATGACACCCGCAGTGTTGTGCCTTTCCCCACAGGAGCATAGAGCTCGTTGAAGTCCTTTCCCTTTGTCTGCTGAAACCCCTTAGCCACAAGCCTTGACTTGTAGCGGGTCAGCTCCCCATCAGGTCCGTACTTATGCCTGAAGATCAGCTTCGAAGAGATTGCCTTCTTCCCGGGAGGCAGCTCACACAAATCCCACGTCTCGTTCTCCAGTAGAGAGTCATACTCCTCCTTCACACTCTGCTTCCACTTTTCAGCATCGGGCCCACTCAATGCCTCGGCCAGAGTCTTGGGCTCAGGGACGGCTGCCCAATAGCAGTGCGCTATCTCCTCCTCATCACACTGCTCAGCCACACTCCCAGCCCGTACCACCTTTGGCTTTCCAAAGCTAGGATAGGTCAGCCTGTTAGGAGGGCGCACATCCCTCCTAGGACGGTCATTCGGACGTTGGTCACGTGGTGGAGCATCCTGCTGCTGCTGCTGCTGCTGCTGCTGCTGCTGCTGCTGCTGCTGCTGCTCCTCCACCTCAGGTTCTCCCCCATCCTCAGTCACCCCAGATATCTCCTCCTCTGAGACAGTGACCTGCACTTGCCTCGAAGGCCGCTGCACCTCATTAGCCTCAATGATCAGCGGTGTAGTGGGAAGCTTCTGCTGCTGCTGCTTCCACTCCTTGTAGTACAGTGACTCAAGGAACTTCACATCCCTCGAAACAGTCAGCTTCTGGCTGGTCAAGTCCCACACCAACCAGCCCTTGTGATCCTTGGCAATCCCCAAGTGCACACCCCATCTCCCAGAAGCTTCCAGCTTTCCCCTCTTCTCCTTCGGCACATGAAACACCACCATGCAGCCGTAGGCTCTCAGCATGTTGACTGCTGGCGCACTCCCATACCACTTGGTTTAGGGGACCCACTGTTTGTCCCCCACAGTCGCCAGCACCCGGTTCTTCACAAGGGCGACCTGCCGCAGTGCAGTCACCCAAAACGGATCCGGCAGCCCTGCACGCCCAAGGAGAGTGCGAGCACCTTCCTGCAGGGTTTGGTTGAACCGCTCAGCCACGCCGTTCTGCTGAGGGTTGTACGGCACCGTGAGCTGATGTTGGATCCCCTTCTTCTTCAGCACCGCCTCAAAATCAGCGCCAATGAATTCTCCCCCGTTGTCAGTGCGGATCACCTTCACTTTGTGTCCGCTCTCCCTTTGAGCTCTCGGCATCCACTCCTTAAGAACAGCCGCTGCCACCTCCCCCTTAGTCTTGAGAGGGTAGACTCACACCGCACGCGTGTGGTCATCCACAATGGTCAGGAAGTAGCGGCTGCCCGAGAGAGAAAGGGCCCTCGTGGGGCCCACCACATCCATGTGCACAAGCGCAAGTGGAGCCTTGGCTGGTCCTGTGCTGCTGCTGAAGGGAAACTTTGTGAATTTGGTCTCAAGGCATGTAGGGCAGCTCCCAATCTCCTTCGCTGCCCCCTTCACCTCCAACCCATTCAAGCTCCCATCCTTAACCAACTTCTGCAGCATAGGAAAATTCACATGGCATAGCCTTTCATGCCATGTCTCCCAATCGGCCTCACCACTCCCAGGCGAAGCCTTTGCCCATGCAGCTGTCGCATCCACACCAGCAAGCACCTCACCATGTGGCTGCTGTGGTTGCTGCACCTTCTTGACTGCATCCAGGGCCCCAACCGTTGGTTCAGGCTCCTCTCCTCCCGCAGTTGCCTTTGCCGTTGCTGCTGCCGCTGCCGTTGCAGGAGGTTTCCCACTCCAAGGGATGATGGGCAGCTGCCACAGGTCCTTGATGCAGCTGTTCTTCTCCTCCAGATCCCACAACAACAGCTTCCCAAGCTTTGCACGGCAGCTGGTTGGGCCGAAGGTCACTTTGGCCTTGCTCTTCTGCAGCCGGCGCACAGAAAGAAGGTTAGCGGAAAAACCTT